ACGTAACATGAAGGTTTTTTACAGTGCCTACTTTAGGTAAAAAAAAAAACAAAAAAAAAACTATGATGTACTGAGCATGATTGAAAGATAACATGGAATCAAAACTCACCGATCATGTGAGACTAATGGAAGCACAACAATGCTGTGCTGTTTACAGTGCTTTAGGACATTATGGCAACTTCTTATATTACCTATGGCTTGGGAAATTCCCTTCAGTCATTTTCCTATTTTTTCTGTTTTCTGTTAAATGGCAGATAAAATTAAAAGAACATAAGAAATCCTTGATTTTTGAAGTGTTTCCATGTCCAAAAATGTGGCAAGTTGAAGCCTTTTCAACACTTCAACACTATTCATCACATACATTTCACAAACTTAAATGCCATTTTAGCTTAGAACCCACCCCGCAAAAGTCTGTTAGCCATGGGACTAAAAGGAGAGTTGGCTCACAAAAGTCAACCCAAAGCAATCTGATCCAAACAGCTGAAGGCATGGAAACAGTGTCAAGCTATCCATCACAAGTTGGAAAGAAACTTTAGTTAAAATGTTTGAAAAGGCTGATGCCAGGAGCAATGTGCTCAAGCCAGCAGGGACCAGAAACCGATCAAACAGAAATTCCCTTTGTGAAAGTTTTAACACTTCTGACCGACACAAGCCGCTGGCTTTCAGTTGTTCTCCATCTAATTTTTACATAACATCTAAATATGTATCAGTTATTTTTCACAAGTACTGAAAATCAAAATCTATATAATGTTATACATACAGTGGCCACAACAAAGCTAAGCTGTTCCGTCACAGCGTGTATAACCTTATGCAATACAGGGAGGGAAAAATGTTCTTAAGTAAATCAATGATAGTGCCTTAATCTCACCCTAGAGGTAGCCATAGATGTCTCAGAAATGCGACACCCCCGTCAAGTGAAACAACTGGTACCAGTACTAATTGAAATTTTGCATGCAAAGTGACAATGCCTGGGCCCTCGGCAGCATGGATTAGGGCTTGAATAGAGACAGATTCTTTGTGAAAGCCTACTGTGGCGGTTGGCGAGCAGGCCAGCTCCATGCATCTGCTCACTGGGTGGACTGAGAAAACACAGGACTGTATATGATCACTTATTTTACCTTCCACAAACTACCTCTTGTTTGCTTTTTCAAAAATAAACCTGTATTCATTGTACTCTTTAATATTCTCTTTATTGATAGTTATTCTCAGAAGCATTTACTGGACTTACATTAACATATTCACCAAACGTAGGACATTTAAATACTCATAACAATGACAGTTTGCTTAGTTGTCAAATGAGGATAAAGAGCTGAAAGTAAAAATAATCAAGAAATTAACATGGTATGTGACATTAAAGCTATGAGAAGTGTAAAACGTCAAATTAGCACGTTTGCCAATGTTCAGCTGTGTGGTGTCCAGTCCTGAATGCAGAGCTAAAGGAATGCAGTGCATACTGAAATGCAATCAAATCTGTGAGACATTTTTTAAAGACTCCATGCTGTGATCTCATTCTGCCCCACTTCACCATCCTCTGCTGTGGTTTCGCTCCCATTATGTTTCCTTCAAAGAACGACAGGAAAAAACGCTGTATCAAAGTGATCTATCATTCCACTCACACCAACAATGACATGCATACAAGGCTAGTTGAGGATGGTGTTGCATCATAGCAACACCAAACCTCCCAGAAAAACATTTGGACAGTACAAACTCAAACATCACAATAAAGAAGAGGGGAGAAGGGGAGAGGCAACAGCAGAAAAGCCAAATAATCAGTCTAGTAAAACTTATCTCCTCCTAACAATACAGGCTACAACAATTTTATGGCTGAGAATGAATCTGAAAATTTCCACTCAACAGAATTAGATTGGTGTCACCGTTGTTAGTGGGGCTGTCAACTTAACACTGATGACAATGAATGGCTGAGCTAATAAAGGGAATAAATCCACGGTGTGTTTTCATAGACATGTTTGACAGAGTCAGACTAATTTCCCAGGCAGTACTGCGTCAATTAATTTCCGAAAAGAGCCCATCCCTTGCTGTTAACTAAACCAATAGGACATGGCATCAGCTTACATTAACACTGATCAACAAGTTAAGGTTGTTTTGCGTTCCGCTTTGCGTGTAAATGCTTTTGAATAATGGCTGAATACAACGGATAAATTTACTTACCGTACAAGTTTGAATGGGGGGACGTACTATTCAGCAGTAGTTTGAGTAGAAATGAGATGTTGAAGAAAACAGAAATAGTCTAAACGCAAACAGTGATCCCTCAGCGCCACCTTGCAATATTGTCGTTGTAACATAGTTTTCAGGTTTAACGTACTATTTGTAAAATGGACACTTGGAGCACAGCTGGGATTTTGTTAAGTTCAGACATAGTTTTAATCCTCTTAGCCCCCCTAACATGGTCCCTGCTTGATTCATTGATTATTTGTACTCTTTTATATTTGCTTGTCTGGAAATAAGCATTATAAGCACATGTATTGAGATTTTCTGCATACGCAATTTAATTTTTGCTGTGAATTATTTTTATCCGCACTTTTCTGACAGTTACATTTTTTCCTGGCAATTAAAAATGAAATTTGATGCTGGAATAAAATTATTTTATTATCGACGCTTAATAAAAGGACTATGTAAAGACGCTTTCAACTGCTAAGATTAATAAAGGACGAAATGTCGTCTCTTCATGAAACGTGTCAAAAAAGTCCACTGGAGGGCTCTGTCAGTGTTGCATGCTGGGATAGACATTTTTTTTTTTTAGATTAGAGCTGCAGTGACCTCTTTTTCAACTCTTAATTTTTCCTACGTAAGCCCGACTTGCGATTTCATTGGACAGTCAAGCAGGGTGAGTCACAGGGTAGAACTGAGATGTGGGACGGCATTCAGTCGGCAACGGGCTTATTTGGGTTTCGAATCATAAACTGGTGCTACACCGTGTGATCAAAAAGTCCTTGAAATTGGCATGCTGCATTTGATTCGTGAAGCAATGCCGTGAAACCATAATGAATTGTATTACAATACAGAAAAATCAGTTTAAGGATTTTGAGGTGATGTTTGATTGCAGCCTTACATGAAAAGCAAGGGAAAAAAAACTACAACAGTGGCTCTGATTGTGTCTGAAGGGGAGAGAGAAAAAAAAAAAAGAAGTGGAAGTGGAACACCGAATAGTGTGAAATTGTTGTTATTTTTGGAAGCTTCCATATCCTGTGCTTCCCTTGAACTTGAAGCAACCAGCAAAAACAAATTCAGGTCAGAAAAATAAACTGTTACTTCAACAAAAATCAAGCAAAAATAATATCACAAATTAAATACAAACACACTGTTGTGATAGACCGCGTATATAAAGGATAATGTTACATAGTATCCGTGTGTAAATTTTTCTTAACTTATTGCAGTTTTCACTTAATATGATAAGTTTATATTCAGCCTAAACAATATTTATCTCTATATGGAAAATAATTAATTTACAGATTTAATCTAAATAATTTACAGCAGTTGTATTTGGGCAGTGGAAAATGACCAAAAAATATAATGGTATAATTATTTTATTAAAAAATTATAAATTGTAGCATATTTTCCCTTTTTTTGTTCAGCTAAAAATTGTGTCAGTCTTGGACCAGGCTGAATTTGACAATTTTTTGTAAATTCAACATTTACAAATTTATTAAAGGTATCATGAAAACCTGTCTGTGTGTACACTGCAATGAGTGCCACTGAGCGTGATGTTTAAATGAACCAAAAACATGAACTAGAGCAGTAAGTTGTGGCCTATGCAAATATGCATGGTGGTTGTCAGCCTGTCAGTCGTAACAGTACATGAAGCCTGCCAGATTTTTAACCTGAAGAACAAATCTGTATACACATACGGCACATAGTTAAAGATGAACAAAAAGTTTCCTATTGTTTTTTTATTCTTTTTTTGGTACATTATCCTGCAGTTACATTGGGTTTGGTCTGGAATAGTTTCTTTGCTCCACCTGTAATTATGAGGTTTCGTTAAATTGACCAGAGGAAGGAGGACACATTTGTTTTCTGAACACATCCTCAAAATAGACTGCAAAAAATTACTGGGCTGACACTTTCCACTGTTCGTGGCCGTCCTGAACTGTCAGTGGGCTAACTTATTCCAGCTACTCAAAACCTGCAGACATGCTAATTAGGCCTTTTTTACATTCTAAAGAGATACCTGCAATACAAATAATAAAAAAGACACTGCATGTTTTTTTTTGTTTGTTTGTTTAAACATTTTAAAGTATTATGAAGAAACAACCTCTGAATATGTGCGTAATGGTGTCACATTCCCTAATAGAAAAAGACCTACATGTAGAAAGCCCTACTGAGTTACTTTCAAGCACAATGAATAGATTCCTGTAAACACCTGAAAGCTTATGAAAGCTCTGTTTTTACCATTCAACCTGTTTCATTGTGCGCTGAGCCACGCTGACTGATGCCCTTTCCTGCTTTGCTAAGCTCCCTGTACAACTGACTGCAATGATCTGAAAAGAAAAACAAGCTTTTACAGGTCAAACTGGGCGACGTTCATTTTGTACATATGTGTAATAGAACACATAAAAAACAACATAAAAGGTATAAAACAGGTCTTTGGTTGTTTATTCTCAACTGACAAGTGGGAGCGACACACCTCCACGGAAAGAGATGCGCTTGCAAAATTTAACGTTTTTTTTATTTCCTAATTTAGGTAAATGCATCACACAACAGCCGGTAGTTTTATAAGACTATTAAGGTTATTAAAGGTTATTGGCTACAGGGTGCTGCGAGAGCATGTGTAATTGTGACCCATTATCACCCAACCGTCCCTAAGCGGAGTCTTTATGCAACATTTCGGTACTATAAGAAGCACCGACGGGATTTCTTAAAACTACGAGAATGGCAAGTATCTATTAAAAATAATAAACGTGCATTTATTCACGCGCTTTGTCTCAAACTCAAGCCGGTAGAAGGATGCGCGTGCAGCCGTCGGGATGCGAGCAGGAGCTTACCTTCAACAGCTATCACGGCCGGTATGCTCCATAATATCCATAAAATATCCATTATTGGTGTTGAAAAAGCCCAGACATTCAAATGAAATAAGTCCAGAAAGCCATTGACAGCAAACACAGAGAGGGGACTGACGGTCCTTCTCCTGCAATTGAGCGCTCCCAGATAGCAGAGCAAAAACGAACTCAAATCTGGACCAAGTTTGGGCGAAACCATGGAAGAGCAGACAGAGGGGAGCACCGAGCAACACGGGCGGACAGCATACATGTTTACCTCTACATTACTCAATTCCCTTTCACGTCAAAGAGAAAGAATAACTTCATATGCATTAGTGGTTTTAACTTACTTTAATTATTCATACTGTTAGTTTGGACAATGTTAAGAGGAAATGTTTATCCCCTTCACTTCCACTTCAGTTCACCCTGCTGTCAATCATCTACAGACGGACAATCCTCAGAGCCTCACCTTGCGATAATGAAGTGTTGAGGGATGTTGTGTAAAAGATGGAGCAACTTATTCTCAGTCCCACACTGCTGGGATTGAAATTATAGGTTATCCTTTCTTTAATCAAAGTTCTGGTCTCAGTGACATTCACTAAACTCCTACAGCTCATTTCAACAGCCAGCGCTGATTGTAACAGGTGACAAGTCGGGGAAAAAACTGAAGTAAGTTTACAAATTACCTTTCCGTTTTCCCTTCACATCTTCATTGTTTTATTTGTGAACATTGTTTTACCACTTGTTTGTTGTCGCTACTCGAGAATATTTTCTTATTTTCGCCAGCCAAACTTATAGATAGATAGATAGATAGATAGATAGATAGATAGATAGATAGATAGATAGATAGATAGATAGATAGATAGATCTTTCTCTGCTGGACAACTGCAATAAATAAAGCAGGATGAAACACGGCAAAGTTTAAAAAGGTGAATGCATTATAATTCAATTAATGATTCACGGCTACGTTGGGGTACAACATATATTTTTGAAGCAGCGTTTTGTCGCTCTGGAGCTTTTATGACTCATCCAGTACATTTTTAGGCCTACATCTAAAGTAGCATTAAAGTCGAGACAAATAATAATAATAATAATAATGTTAGTAATAACTTAAGTAAAGTCATATCTGAATTGCTAATGCCGATTTTATGTTGCAGAGATACTAAATTAATATTTATAGTTACTTATTTAACACTTATTATTTGAAATTAAATTATATTTAATTAATGGAATATCTCCAAGCAGGTAACTTTGTCAGTGTATCCCACCCAAGAGTAATTACATCAAACACAGGCAAAAATGACCTGTTGTAAAAATTAAAAAAAAAAATGGCTTAGCTGATAAAGCACTACTTTTCTTCTTGCACAAGAAAGGGCATAAAACATGATTTGATTCAATATCTTATCACTATGCATAAATTGTAAGAGTAGAAACAGAGCTGCTAGAACAGCATAAACACAAAACTGATTTCAGAGGTCTTAAAGTAGTATTCTGGATTCACTGCCATTGATAATAACATCAAGTTATTTATTTAATATACCACATTAAATAAAATAGTCATACATTTACCTATTTTGAGTTACACCTTGCTTTAATGAAACTACTGTTAACCATTCAGTGATTCTGTGATAATTATGTAAGCAAAAGTATTTTGTTTTTTTCAATTTTGTAAAATATGTCATATTCAAAAATTAATTGTAAATTTCCATTATCTTAAAAAAATTAAAAATATAAATATAAAAATCAATATAAAAACAACAAAATAAAAAAATATTAGACATGACACTAGATTTACTTATTAAATGTATTAATTAAAAATAATTATTTCTTCCTGTCTAATGTAAACCAGTCGCATGCATATAAATTAAATAAACTGCAATACCTTGAGAGAATACACGTTTTAAAAAAATCCAGAGATGTAATTTTGTTCAGAGAAACAAAACTGCAAAACTCATGAATGCATAAAATATTTAATTGTCTGTGATTTTTAATAGTGAACTACAAATGGCATTTGAGATGTTTTAATGAATTCCAGCAATGATGTCAGATGCAATGGTTTTCCAACAGCAGATCAAAATACATATTTTTAGAAATAGTCATAATGCATTTTACTGTCATAACTTTAACACTATTTTAATTAGATTATTGTTTACCAAAGATATTCTTGGAGGAGTTTGCGATTTTATATATATTGTTTGTTTGTTTTTCACAATTCTGTAAAATATATTTCTTGCGCCAAAATATTTGGTGAAATTCCAGCATTATTAAAAAAGAAAAGAGATAAAAAATAAAAAAATTCTGATTGAGACTTCATTTAGCGAAGGGCGAACACAGTTGCAGAAATGTTCATCTTAAAAAGTATTATTACTTCCTTTCTAATTCAAAGCAGACACATACATATATGACACTCAGAACGAACGCATGATAAATATACCAATTTATGCTAATATTTCAGACTAGTTCTTGTTCAAAGAGAGCTACAGACGTGACTCCATAACACATGTGCTCATGACAGTCCACCATGTACAAGAGAGTACATATAGTGGCTTGCCTCCTGGATACAAGTCTGAAGTTACTGAAGCTGAATGAGAAACAAGAATTTGGAATAATCAGTTTGTCATCAAACATGCCTTTCTTATTACAAGCCGTGGTGCTGTAGCTATGCGGCAGAACTCTCATGGGTTAAATGAAGCTGATTTATTTGCCTCCACTGGGCTGGACTGTATTGATTCCAGGTCACTTGACTGGCTGGCTTCAGATCATGTTCAGGTGACTTCAAACAGATAGAACAAAATGGCAAGGCACTGAGAAAGCAAGCCCCCCTCCCCCCCTTACTATAATGAGTTCCATACAAGCCCAGCCTTGACTTGAGCCAGAAGTAAAGTGAAAGACGTTGAAGAAATGATATTAATACTCCTTGAATTTAGCCGACAGAGATTTCTCTTCCACGCAATGTTATAATGGATACAGTGTCTGCTACGGCTGTAATGAAACATTTGAAATGCAAAGCAGACAGCCTAAAATGTGGCATAAATCCTCTCATGTTTCTCTGCATGTCTGTAATCCAGTAAAAGCAAACCGTACAACACCACCGTTCCGTAACAGCGCCGTTTTAAAACTGTTTATTGTGTATGGTTCTACAGCAGTAAACATTAAGCATAGCTCTAGTAACATGTAACAAACCTACAATTTATCCTCCAATAAAATGCCAGGTGCACTAACTTGCCTAAGTTTACAAGTGTAATCCATATAAAATGGTATGACCATACGCAATGTGTTGTGTAAAGCAATATCACAACATTAACACCGAACTGCAGGCTAATGGAAAATGTTATGTCATGTAATTCTGTCTTGTTTTAAAAAATATATATTTTTTATTTAATTTGAATAACATCAAATTTGTACAAATGTCAGCACACAAATTTGAATAAAAAAAACTAAATAAGTAAATTCATAATTTTAATGATAAATCATGACATAGTTCAAACCACTTTTCAGATTTTTTCATCAGCATTTAAAATGATCTTATATTGGGTTATTAAAACAAATCACACTCACCTGATTTCCTAATAAAGATTTAATCCACTTAATATAAATTATGTACTATTAAGTATATTTAAAGTGAACATATTTGGATAGATGCTACTTCTCATAAAGCTGCCCAAATCATTACAAGAAACAACAAATGTAATCACAATTTAGATGATATAGAACAAAAGTGATGTCCTCCACAGGGCAAGACTATAGAATGAAGAACTAAGTTGTTTCCGAAAACATGACTTTATGAAGAAATGTATTAATAAGTACTTGCAACACAAACCTGATGTGTACAGTGTATTTGCTTGTTAGTTATTTTAGGTCTTGTATCAACACTGCCACCTAGAGATTAAAGGATGAACATTCCTAGAGCACATCATTTAAGAGAGGAATATACAAATAAGAGAT